AGCATGGGATGAGTTTCCATTTGTTAGTGTCCCCTTTAATTTCTCTTCAGAGTGACTTGTAGTTTTCAGAGTATAGGTCTTTCACTTCCTTTGTTAGTTTTATTCCTAGGTATTTTATTCTTTTTGATGCCATTGTGAATGGAATTGTTTTCCTGATTTCTCTTTCTTTTAGTTCATTGTTAGTGTATAGGAAAGCCACAGACTTCTGTGTGTTAATTTTGTGTCCTGCAACTTTGCTGTATTCCGATATCAGTTCTAGTAGTGTTGGAGTGGAGTCTTTAGGGTTTTTTATGTACAATATCATGTCATCTGCAAATAGTGACAGTTTAACTTCTTTACCAATCTGGATTCCTTGTATTTCTTTGTTTTTGTCTAATTGCCATGGCTAGGACCTCCAGTACTATCTTGAATAACAGTGGGGAGAGTGGGCATCCCTGTCTTGTTCCCAATCTCAGAGGAAAAGCTTTCAGCTTCTCGCTGTTCAGTGTGATGTTGGCTGTGGGTTTATCGTATATGGCCTTTATTATGTTGAGGTACTTGCCCTCTATACCCATTTTGTTGAGAGTTTTTATCATGAATGGATGTTGAATTTTGTCGAATGCTTTTTCAGCATCCATGGAGATGATCATGTGGTTTTTGTCTTTCTTTTTGTTTATGTGGTGAATGATGTTGGTGGATTTTTCAGTGTTGTACCATCCTTGCATCCCTGGGATGAATCCCACTTGGTCATGGGGTATGATCCTTTTGATGTATTTTTGAATTCGTTTTGCTAATATTTTGTTGAGTATTTTTGCATTTACATTCATAAGGGATATTGGTCTGTAATTTTCTTTTTTGGTGGGGTCTTTGTCTGGTTTTGGTCTTAGAGTGATGCTGGCTTCATAGAAGTAGTTTGGAAGTATTCCCTCCTCTTCTATTTTTTGGAAAACTTTGAGGAGAATGGGTATTATGTCTTCTCTATATGTCTGATAAAATTCAACTGTGAATCCATCTGGATCAGGAGTTTTGTTCTTGGGTAGTTTTTTGATTAGCAGTTCAATTTTGTTGCTGGTAATTGGTCTGTTTAGATTTTCTGTTTCTTCCTTTGTCAGTTTTTGAAGGTTGTATTTTTCTAGGAAGTTGCCCATTTCTTCTGGTTTTCCTGCTTGTTAGCATATAGATTTTCATTGTATTCTCCAATAATTCTTTGTATTTCTGTTGGGTCCATTGTGCTTTTTCCTTTCTCATTTCTGATTTTGTTTATATGTGTAGATTCTCTTTTTCACTTAATAAGTCTGACTAGGGGTTTATCTATTTTGTTTTTTGTTTATTTTTTCAAGGAAGCAGCTCTTGGTTTCATTGATTTTTTTCTATTGTTTTATTCTTCTCAATTTGATTTATTTCTTCTCTGAAATTATGTCCCTCCTTCTGACTTTAGGCCTCATTTGTTCTTCTTTTTCCAATTTCGATAATTGTGGCATTAGACTCTTCATTTGGGATTGTTCTTCCTTCTTTAAATAGACATGGATTTATATACTTTCCTCTTAGAACTGCCTTCGCTGCGTCTCACAGAAATTGGGGCTTTGTGATGGTGTTGTTGTTTGTCTCCATATATTGCTTAATCTCTGTTTTAATTTGGTCATTGATTCATTGATTATTTAGGAGCATGTTGTAAAGCCTCCATGTGTTTGTGAGCTTTTTTGTTTTCTTTGTACAGTTTATTTCTAGTTTTATACCTTTGTGATCTGAGAAGTTGGTTGGTACAATTTCAGTCTTTTAATTTACTGAGGCTCTTTTTGTGCCCTAGTATGTGGTCTATTCTGGAAAGTGTTCCCTGTGCACTTGAGAAGAATGTGCATTCTGCTGCTTTTGGGTGTTGAGTTCTGTAGATGTCTGTTAGTTCCATCTGTTCTAGTGTGTTGTTTAGTGCCCCTTGTCCTTATTTTCTGTCTGGTGGATCTATCCTTTGGAGTGAGTGGTGTGTTGAAGTTTCCTAAAATGTGTGCATTGCATTCTATTTCCTCCTTTAATTCTGTTAGTATTTGTTTCAATATATGTTGGTGCTCCTGTGTTGGGTGCATATATAAGGTTTTATAAAGGTTATATCCTCTTGTTGGACTGACCACTTTTTCATTATGTAATGTCCTTCTTTATCTCGTTATTTTCTTTGTTTTGTAGTCTATTTTTTCTGACACAAGTACTGCAACACCTGCTTTTTTTCTCCCTATTGTTAGCATGAAATATCTTTTTTCCATCCATTCACTTTTAGTCTGTATATCTTTGGGTTTGACCTGAGTCTCTTGTAAGCAGCATATAGATGGGTATTGCTTTTTTATCCATTCTGTTACTTTGTGTCTTTTGATTGGTGCATTAAGTCCATTTACATTTAGGGTGATTATCAAAAGATATGTACATATTGCCAATGCAGGCTTTGGATTTGTTTTTACCAAAGGTTCAAGGTTAGCTTCTTTACTATCTAACCGTCTAACTTAACTCTCTTATTATGCTATTATAAATATAGTCTGATGAATCTTTTTTATCTGTCTTCTTATTCTTCCTCTTCCCTTCTTTATATGTTAGGTGTTTTATTCTGTAGTCTTTTGTGTTTCTTTTGACTCCTTTTGTGGATAGTTGATTTTATTTTTTGCCTTTAGGTAGTAATTGGTTGGTCTGTTTTCTTTGGTGTGATTTTATTTTGTCTGATGACATCTATTTAGCCTTAGGGGAGTGCTTTTGTCTAGAGCAGTCCCTTTCAAATATTCTGTAGAGGTGGTCTGTGGAAGGCTAATTCCCTCAACTTTTGCTTGTCTGGAAATTGTTTAATCCCTCCTTCAAATTTAAATGATAATCATGCTGGATACAGTATTCTTGGTTCAAGGCCCTTCTGTTTCATTGCATTAAATATATCATGTCATTCTCTTCTGGCCTGTAAGGTTTCTGTTAAGAAGTCTGATAATAGCCTGATGGGTTTTCCTTTGTAAGTGATCTTTTTTCTCTCTCTGGTTACCTTTAATACTCTGTCCTTGCCTTTGATCTTTGCCATTTTAATTATTATGTGTCTTGGTGTTATCCTCGTTGGGTCTCTTGTGTTGGGAGATCTTTGGGCTTCCATGGTCTGAGAGACTATTTCCTTCCCCGGTTTTGGGAAGCTTTCACCAATTTTTTCAAAGACACTTTGTAACCCTTTTCTCTCTCTTCTTCTTCTGGTACCCTTATAATGCAAATATTGTTCCTTTTGGATTGGTCACACAGTTCTCTTAATATTCTTTCATTCTGGAGATCCTATTATCTCTCTCTGCCTCAGCTTCTCTGTATTCCTGTTCTCTGATTTCTGTTCCATTCACAGTCTCTTCCACTTCGTCCAGTCTGCTCATAAGACCCTCTATCCATTGTTACATTTCTGTTATCTCCCTCTGGACTTCATCCCTTAGCTTTTGCATATTTCTCTGCAGGTTCATCAGCATGGTTATGACTTTTATTTTGAATTCTTCTTCAGGAAGATTGTTTATATCT